ATAGCAACCCGCTGCGCTTCAGCAAGTCTTGTACTTTCCTTTTCCAGACTGAACAGCTATGTATCCCAGCTTCTGACAGCTGCACGACTTGTAACGTTTATTAAGCTTAGAAAGGCTGGAAAATAATTTTATGGATGGTTCCATACATCCGTTTCCCAAGAGAAGACAATGAAAAGCTCTGAGGCAGGGCTAGCAGAACAGCTACGTGTGCCCTTCTGCACCAGGCACGGGCCAGCCCAGGCCGCTGCCATCACCACCATCTCCGTGGAAGAAAAGGGATGCAGAGCCCCATCTCTTTCTATGTCTATGTAGGACCCCCCACTGCCGGAGGCTGCTGTGGCAGAGCAGGGGCAATCTGGGAACCACAATACACGACCACTAAGGCTGGACCTGTGCTTCTCATCAGGGATCCCCATCCAAACCAAGTTCCAGTGAGGCCAGGAGCACTCCTGGCTCTGACCCCACCACCCCAACTCCCACCCTGGAGCACCTGATGGTCCTGCGGAGCCGGCACTGCCCGGAGCCACGCGGAGGTGGAGCGGGTGGCCCTGGGACCAGCTCTGTGCTGGGGCAGACCAGCACACTGCCGCAACAGAAGTCCTCTCCCACCCCACAGGGTAAGGCATGGGGCTCTGCAGGTCGCTTCCCCTGGCATCCCTGCCTGCACCCATACCGCTCAGTCCTTACCTCCAGAAAGCAACCTGGCCTTCTGGAAAAAAAAGTCTGTACCCACAGGTATACACGCACACACACACACAAACATCTGCAGTGTATAAAAAGCATATTTCCCTGTGTCTCTCTGTAAAGTCCTGCCTGGTATACAGTACGCCAAGCCAATCTAAAGTTCTCCTTTTCAGAACTGATAATATTTTACTCACTTTGTACATACTTAAAGACTACACAAGAACCAAGCAGTTCAGCCTCCGCCAGCAGCCTGTAAGGAGCAGCAGTCCATCACTGAGCATAGCGGATCAAAAAATTTAAGTATTTGCCTCGTAAGAGTGACAGTGACAAACCACACCGAGCCCTTCAGCAAGGGCAAACGGCTAGCCACGGTTGCGTTGGTAAGTACTTCAGGAGCAGCCGACATTGCGCTAAGCACTGTACAAATACGAGGCAGATAACGGGTCCTTTCTCAAAGACAAAATAGGGTCCAGTTTACACTACAAAGATAGTGGCAAGGACAGGCAGGGACACACCACGTACCAGAACTGTGCCAGTTCAGGGTGTAAAACATTCACATCCCCCTCGCTGAACACTTTTATCAGTTAACAGAAGGTGGTTTTTCTCAGCTTTGCTTATGTTTGCTGCGACAGCAAAAAAACACTGGCAGAAACCTCCTTCCCTCTGCCTGCCCGAGAGGGCTTTGCCAGCAGAGCTGCACACACAGGGCTGCTGTAGTAGAGACAAGGGCTTGATAAGACAGACAAAAGGACATCATTAACAGCCTTAGAAAGGGGCCATGTTGGTTCCCCAGTGCTTTAAACTGGCACTGACAGCAGGAAAGGAGCTGATTCAGTTCAACAGGGGCTGGCGTAAGGGAAAGGGGAAGAGGGAAGGGGAAAGGGAAAGGAAGGCAGAGCAAGAGAAAGGGAAGCAAAGAAATAAAAGCTGGAGACAGTCCGTAAGCTGGGGCTAGGCCTGCTTGTGCTCCTATAAACTTTGCCTGGTGACACATTTGTTATCCACCCCGGAGTTCCCACACACAAGGATCAGAACCAGATCCAATTCGCCACGTTACATTTATTCCAACAAACATTTTGGTGCCGGTCTTTGTACCAACATGCGTAGAGCAGGGAAGAAACAAAGAAGAACTTTCACTGGTTATCCACAGCAGAAAACACTTTTTCTGTTGATTCATCTTTCATGGGGCAGCAGCAGCAGGAACAGTTTCTGAATGCTAGGACTTGGTCTCCAGCTCAAAGATCCCTACATGGCAAGGCTAGTCACTGCGGGCATCGGCTTTGCATGTTCCAGCAAGGCACCGGCACCCTTTGGGAAGGAGAGCCCACGGCAGTGACGATCTCCCCTGCAGCAGTCACCCTCCCCAGCCCCTCGGCCGTCTTCCAGCCCCTCTACCTGGATCAGGTTTAAGAGGACGACTCGCGCTTCCTTGCGTGCGTCTAGGATTACGTGCAAAGAAGGGTCATCCAGGCCAGCCAATATGACTGTGCAGAAATCATTCCTTCTCTTTGCCAGAAAGCATTCCCAGGAAATAGAGGAAGATATAAACAAAATCTAGGCCAGATTTTTTAAGAGTCATTCAATGCTACCGATAGTAGAATGACCAGCCATCAACATTTACAGTTTGTTCTACTGAAGTCGCACACAGCTGCAAGGCAGTAATCTTCCTCGATTATATTTTACAGTAACATTCTTAACTGTCCCTTTATTACTAATAGGGAACTGTATCAAATTAAGTCAATAACTTGGTCACAAATTCCCAGTAAGACAAAGCCTTGTCTTTTTTTTTTAAACACAAGCTATCATTTATCATTTTATCACAGCTATTTATGCTCTTTGTCTACTGTTCTTGAACATGAAATTCTATGCAAAGTTAATCATTAAAGAAGTTTTAATGTTTATCCAGTTGTTTAACTAGAAACATGCAGTTTTCTCTTATGTCATCATAGTTACCTGCAGCAGAGAATTTACATCTTCTTTAAATCAATAATTATTGAAAGTACATTATTAGACCTAACTTTTCCAGTAAATGAATGTCAAATACATTTGAGCGTAAGAGATAAGCTCCCTCCATTTCACACCCTCCTCAGTGACACCGATTCAGACCTCCTAGAGAGGACACCAAAACCAGGACGAAGGTCCTCTCGGTTCCACAGCAATGCACGCCTTACTTCCCCCGGTGACAGCCAGCACATTGTAAGAGCACACGTACGACCTTCACCAGACACCGAGGGAACGCAGCAGGCGCGTTCTGGCTGCTCAGAGCAGGGCTGGGAAAAGTCCTGGTTGCCATTTAGATCATCTGCCACCCTCAGAAACACCAGAACACCCTGAAAGGACATACGAAGGAGTACATCTTGTTTTTCCATCAAATTCTTCTCATCTTCCAATGTCACTTATATGAAGGTCAGAGTTGTCTTTTGGTAATTATTTTTACCCAACAGACGACTATTTTTACCATCTAACAAGATGTTCAGTAAATAGGTCAAAATAGCAATAGAGCTGCGAAGACCCCTCTCCCCTTTTTCTTGAGGAGGGGGAAATATTGAACAGGCTGGGCACTTAAACTAGAACATGAACTATTCGTAATCTTCAAGTACATTCCTAGGGAACTCATGGCAACCACCTACTTAGTTTAAACTTGATTACAAACAACTCAAGGAGTAAGAAGTACACTTTATGATGACCAATACAGAGTAAGAAACATGTCAAGTGCTGCTACATCATGAGGCCAGTACATGGGAACTCAATGTGGGAAACAATTCAGAAAGCAAAAAGGTCATTGCAAAAAGTAAACAACTATGTCAACAAATAATCTTGCCAATTTCTAATTTAAGACCATAGTAATTGTTTACAGAAGTATTCTTATTAAAACATGATACTTTTTTTCCATTCTCCTTCCACTGACATGCAGAAGCTACAGGAGAGCACAGATAAATACTAGTTATACTGTGACAGCTGTATTCTAGTTGAGTGTGCTCTACTCTATGCTGAATATGTCTGGGTAGTTGTGGCATCTTTACACAACACTAGTGCCAAAACTATGGATTCAAACACCAAGTGTAAAAAAAAAAAAATCAAGAGTTACAATCACAGGAGGAAAACACCTTATAAACTGAATTAAGCACTACTGGTGCTTAAAAATAAAATATTACAAGCAACTAAATAGCTATTTAAAACTCCACACTAACAGGGAAAAAAAGTAAGACTCACTGAGATACGCTGGGAAGTTTGATTCTACTAGATGACAGACATGAGTTTAAGGAGCAGCAAAGCTGAAACGCTAAAGATAGCTCAATTCCACAGAACACCTGAAATACTTGACTGACAACATGACAGAAGGAGGAAAAACATATAAAAGTGAATCCTAGACACAGCAAGGCAGCAAAACAAACAAAAGGCATCATCAACTCTGTGGATCTTTTTTTCTCCCCAGTGTATCTACTAATGCATTTACATCAGCTTACGTTATTATAATATGTTTAATGTAACAGTACTAACCTCAGCTTGCAATTAAGCCTCATTACGTATCATTACCAGCAAGAGCAGTTGGGACCATACTTCTTATCACTGTCAGTTATTTCTCCTGTAAGACTAGAAGGTTATTTTTTTCTTTTCTTTTTTTTTTTTTAAAGCTAACTAACTTCAGGTTGTAACTTGGTTCTTTAAAAA